TCTGATGCAGCGCCTGCCGTCACGGCGGCCGTGAGCGACGGCACGGGGGGGCTTCAATAACGCATCGCTCGGAAAAGGCTCGGGAGAGGGGCCAGGGGTGCAGGGACCACCCTGAGAACGGGGGGTCCCTCCACCAGCTGCGGCTGCCCCAGCCCTGTGCTGCCGGCCGGGTGATGCTGCCCTGCTGGGAGCAGGGTACTGGGCAGGGGAGAATGAAGGTGGCACTGGTGGCACCATCAGGGGCAACTGGGAGAGCACCAGGAGTTGCTGGGGGGAGTGAGGTGCCCCGTGCCACTGGCACCCACCACCCAAGGGGGTGGCAGAGGAACCTGGGGGGTGCAGCATTGCTGCAGCCTGGCAGTGGGTGCCCAGTAGCTCCATCTGGGCTGGGTGGGGGTCCCATGCCCCGGTGTGAGCGCAGCCCCCGTGCCCCCCACATGGGGTGTTGCTGTTGCAGCCACGTTGTGCTCCTTTGCTCAATAATTCAGTGCATTGATCTGCCTGTGCTGTGTTTGCCTCTGGCCATGGGCCGGCCACACCATCCTCCTGCCAGCTGCTGGGACCTGCCCCTGTGCCTGGGCTGGGACCGCAGGGATCCAGAGGGCTGCCCGTGGTAGAGCAGGGCATGCCAGGCCTGTGCCTGGCAGAGCCAGACGCTGGCCAGGCAGCACCGGGATCTGGCACAGCTAACGAGGTAACTTTGCCAGGGAAGCTCGTTAGCGGCCTGAGGATCAAAGGAGCGCAGGGCAGATCGATGGACGTGGTGAGCGGGGCCTGAGATGTGCCAGGGCTCCAACCTCTCCATCTCCTCAGCATCCTCCCAGTGGAGATGTGACCAGAGGGGCCGGGTGGCACTGAGGGAGGTGTGAGCCACTCGTGCTGGGTGCCACAGTGACACCCTGGCACCCAGCACCGTGTCTGACCCTGCAGCACCCACTTGGGCACCCTTGGGAGCCCACTCCAGCCCCTGTCCTCACTGTCTGGCTGCCCCGGGGAGGGGGGGGCAGTGCTGGGGTGGTGACACCAGGACACTTGCACCCACCCACTGAGGTCCCAGTCGTCCTCCACGGGGATCCAGAGAGGGTCCCATCACGGGGACCCCACAGGCCCTCAGCATGCAGCAGGTCCAGGCAGTGCTGGCAGCAAGGGCAGCTCCTGCCCATCCATGTTCCAGCACAGCAGGATTATTGTCCATCAGGATTACATTGGGCTGGAGGAGGGGGGCACTCCAGCACGCACAAGGGCATGGGCAGACAGACACAGTCAGGGACAGACAGACAGACACCCCAGCCCAGAATGGTGATGGTGCAGGCAGCGTTGCCCGTGCCCACGTCCCCACGCCCCGGTGACCTTCCCTGCCCCACCAACGCCACCCTGGCCCCCGGAGCGGACACGTCGGTGCCCACTGTTCCCACCCGGCAGCTGGGACTGGCCAGCGGAGCCACGGCCGCTCACCCCATCCCATGGGATGCGGGTGGGATGTGACAACCCCTGCACTGGCACCAGCCCGGTGCCCGTGCCCTCATTGCTATGGCAGGAGCAGGCTCGGTGCGTGCGGCTCCGGTTAATTAGCCGGTGCGGGCCGGCTCCCTCCAAGCCCCCGCTGAGTGTTTTGCTAAATTATAACCTTGACGATGTGCATCATCAGGCGGCTGCTCGGGGGAACAGCCGCCCCTGCCCGCCCGTGCCCTGCGCTCAGCACCGCCGTGGTGGCACGGAGCTGCCCAGCTGGGCTGGCATCACGCTGGGCTGGCATCACATCAGGGTGGCATCACGAAGGGGTGGCATCCCTCTGAGTGCTTGTGACCACTGGGTGATGAGGGAGCTGGCCCGGGGTGGGTGATGGGCTCCGTGGCGTGGCCCCAGGGTCCGGAGGAGCCCGCGGCCAGCGCCTGGCATCCAGTGCATTGTGCCTGATGCCCTGCACACCCCGTGCCCTGCTCCTCGGGGCTCGGCACGCGTGTCCCCTCAGCACACGTGTCCCCTCGGCATGGCGAGCCGGTGGCCCCGTTTCCATGGTGACACGGAGCCATTTCCCATCTCCGGGATGCTCTCGGCAGCTCTTTGGGTGGGCGCTGCAGCCGTTGCCCTTCACCCATGGGGGACAGGCAGGGATGGGCCCCGCTGCCCTGGGGGGCTGTGCTCCTCCCTTCCAGCCCTCTGGGGGGGGACACTATGCCCCGTGTCCCCCCTGTGTGTCCTAGGGCTGCCCCAGGTCGGCTGTTATGCCTGACCTCATCCTCACCCCAGGGTGGTGAGGGGTGTTGGGGGCATGCTGGGGCTCCTGTCCTGGCATGGCTGGCTGGGGGGACTCTGGCAGCGTGGCCAGATAAGGGACCCAGTGCCAGGAGTGGAAGCTGCTGGGAGAGCACCACGGGGCTGGGAGACCGTGCCCAGGCTCTTCCCGGTGCCACGATGCACCCACGGTCCCTGTCCCGCTGGTGAGCCGGGGCATGGGGTGGGTATGGCCGTGTCGTGCCCCCACCTCACCGCCCGCCGTGGCTCCCAGCCTCTGGCACGGCACGGCTCTTTATCCCGCTCTCCATCTCAGCGCTGCCTATTAACATTTCCCATCACTTGCTATTCCAGGCGATAAATTTTTCCTTCCTAATTTCTGAGCGTTTCACTCCCACCCACCTGGGGCTGCCCCACGGGGGCACTCGGCGTCCTCACCCCCCGCTCCTCCCCGTGGCACCCCAGGCTGGCGTGGGTGGCACGGTGTTGGGGGGAGAGGACGGGGGGGGCCCCGAGGCGGGGGGTTGGCGAGACAGAAGGGACGGGCTAATGGAGCCCATTCCTTGAATAGATTCAATTTCTGCCGCGGCGGCTGCGGGGTGCGGAGCCATCAATTGGATTCAGGGGACGGGGAATCTGATTTGGAGCGGCCGCGCCATCAATTAGCCGTTATTGATGGCATTGCTCATTGGAAGTCGATGGGATTTGAAGCCGGCGGTGGCTCCCGCATACCAAACAACGCCGGCTCAAGGACAGGACCCCGCTGAGCCCGGACCCAGCACCCACCCCCGGGGGCGCCAGAGGGACCCCTCGGCCTCGCCTGGGAATACCCGGGGGGCTGGGGAAGGGGCGGCGCAGTGGGCAGCCCCCTCTGGAATACCTGCATGGGAGTCCCACAGGGTATGGCTGTCCCCTGGAACATGGGGTCCTAGAATTGCTGCATGGGGGTCCCACAGGGCACAACCCCCAGATTCGCTGCATGGGGGTCCTGCAGGGCACAGTTGTCCCCTCAGCATCTTTAAATGGGGGTCTTTTGGGAGGATTCCCCCACCCAGCATCCCCCACATGGGGATCCCACAGGGCACAGCCCCCAGGAATCCTTGCATAGGGATCCCACAAGGCATGGTTGACCCCTGGAATCCATGCACGGGGGTCCCACAGGGCACAGCCCCTTAGAATCCCTGCACGGGAGTCCCAAGGGTGGGTCCCTGAGCATCCTGCCTGGGGGTCTCTCGGGTCAGATGCCCCCCAGATGGTTCCACACCCCCCCCCGGGGTGGGATCTCCCAGGACAAGTTCTCCCTGCACTAGGCAGCCTCTGTGTCTCCCATGGGGATGGGGTGCCCCTGTCCTGTGGGGTTGAGGGTGTGGGGTTGGGGTGAAGGATGGGGGATGGGATGGGGTACAGGATGGGTATAGGCTGAGATGGGGCACAGGATGGGTGCAGGCTGGGATGGGGTGAAGCTGGGGTGCAGGATAGGACACAGGATGGGTGCAGGCTGGGATGGGGTGAAGCTGGGGTGCAGGATAGGACACAGGATGGGTGCAGGCTGGGATGGGGTGAAGCTGGGGTGCAGGATAGGACACAGGATGGGTGCAGGCTGGGATGGGGTGAAGCTGGGGTGCAGGATACGACACAGGATGGGTGCAGGTTGGGATGGGGTGGAGGCTGGGATGGGGCACAGGGTGAGGTGCAGGCTGGGACGGGGTACAGGCTGGGGTACAGGATAGGGTGCCAGATGGGGTACAAGGTGGGATGGGGTGCAGGGTGGGGTGCAGGATAGGATGCAGGATGGGTACAGGCTGGGATGGGGCGCAGGGTGTGGCGGGGGAAGGGCAGGCAGCAGCCGTGGGGGGGAGGGGAGCGGCGCGGTCGATGCTTTCGCTCAGCCTCTCTTGCCAAGCAGCTTCTTTCTCCCAGAAGCCATAAAACCTGTCTGACGTGCCCGGCACCACTGCGGCAGGCGGCTGGCAACGCCTGCGTGGCGAGGGGCAGGGGGGCCCTGCTGTGGGTGGCCCTGGGGGCAGCTGGGCCACATCTGGGCCCCCTGGGAGGGCAGTGGGGGGCTGCACTCATGGGATGGGGGAGCAGGAGCCTCAAAGGACTCTCGTGTTGGTGGGCGAGCCTGGGGCGTGTGGCTGCACCGGAGTGAGGACTCTGGCAGCGACCTGGTTGTGCCATGGGATCGGCCCCTGCAGCAGCCTGGGTGCCCACTGGGGAAGAGGAAAACCCCCCAGGGCCCCCATTTTGGGAGTGCATCTCACGGGGTGTGTAGTAGACAGACAGATGGACGGAGAATGGCTGCCCTGTGGACACCCCAACCCCATCCAAGGGCAGCAAGTGGGGCCAGGGTGCCCAGCTGGGGGTTTTGGGTGAGTGACCCCCAACCCTGCTGCCCCCAACCCAACCCTGCTGCCCCCGACCCTCTGTCCTGGTGCTCATCCCACCTCCAGGTGCTAATTACTGGCAGCTTGCCTGTAATTAAAGGTCTCCGGTGGCATGAGCTGACGACTCAATATCAAACCACTGCAATTAAACCCTTGGCCTTAAAGGCCGTGGAGGGAGAGAGGGGCAGGGACCCCCTGGAGCGGCCACCCCGGCACCTCTGCAGGGGCAGGGGCATGGGTAGGGGGGCCGGCGGGGGGGCCGCACACCCGGGGCACAGCGATCTTGCAAACACTGTATTGCTCAGTCACTACCAGGGGTTAAAACCAAACTGAGGGCACGGAGGAAGGCGTCTTCCCAGAAGACAGATCGGTGTGTCCTCACCAGAGGAGGAGGAGGACACGGCAGTGGCCGACGCTGCCATCGGAGCTGCTGCCCCGCTCCAGGGCCTGGGGGGTCCCTGGGCCCCCTGGGGCGGGGGGTCCACGGGGGAAGGCACGAGATGAGGTGGCGGCCGTGGGGCAGAGGAGGCATTTGCTGAGGGGAGCCCAGTGCCGGGGTGATGCCGTGGGGGCGATGCCGGTGTGCGGCGATCCCGGTGTGCGGCGGTGCTGACCCGTGGCAATCCCGGCGTGCGGCGATGCCGGTGGCAAGCGACAGCCCTGGGAGGGAGAGATCCCCATCAAGGGACGCTGCGGTGCAGCAAGTGGGTACCCACCCACCACCCCAGAGCCTCCCTGCTCCCCCCTCACCTTCCAGCCCGGAGCTCCCGGCCCCGGCTCGGCTTTGTGGAGGTCCGGCAGGTGGGTCGTGGCCTGGGGCTGCCCCACGGGCTCGAGGGGGTTGGCGGTGAGGAACAGTCTGGAAGCGGCGCCTGGGCAGAGGAGCCCATCCCCCCACCACGGGCAGTGCCGGGGTCAGATCCGGAGCAGGGCCAGGAGCACGAGTGCCAGGCACGGCGTGCAGGGCTGCGGTGGGACCGCGGTGCCCCGCGCAGGCACAGCGTCTGCCAGGGCAGAAGTGGTGGTCAGGGTGAGCTGGTCCCTGGGCCCTCACCACCCCTTGGCCCCCCTGTACTCACCCATGGGCCCCCTGATACTCCCTGGCCGCCCTGTACTCACCCCCGGGCCCCCTGACACCCCCTGGCCCCCCTGTACTCACCCCCGGGCCCCCTGACACCCTCTGGCCCCCCTGTACTCACCCCCAGGCCCCCTGATACTCCCTGGCCACCCCGTACTCACCCTCGGGCCCCCCACGCCCGTGGGGCTGCGAATTGGGCACCTCTGTCACCGGCTCCGGTGCTGAAATAAACCCCACCAGTGTCAGGGAGCGGCTCCCCCGGGCTCCGTGGCATCGCCCCCAAGGCGCCGGTACCCCCTCCACGGGGACCAGGCTGCCCCGGGGGTGGGGGAGCCCCCGGGTTTTGGGGCACAGTCCCCCCCAGGTTTTGGGGCACAGACCCCCCAGCCCCACTCACTGGTGCCTCGGCAGCAGACGGTGACGCGCAGCTTCAGGCAGCGCCCGGCGCTCTCGGGGCTGGGGACGGCTGGGCAGGGTGGGGGGATCAGCGGGGACCCCCCGGCACGGCCCCCCCGGCCCGACGGGACCCCCCGACGGCGGGTCAGCGCGGGCCTGGGGCGCCCCCTCCCGGCGCATTGAGGGAACGGCACCCCCCGGGTGCCCCCACTCCGCAGCATCCAGACCCCACCCTGCATCCCGAACCCGTGGGTATCCAGAACCCGCCCCCCCGGGTACCCCGAACCCGCAGCATAAAGACCCCCTCCTCCCACACCCCGAACCCAGGGGCATCCAGACTCCCCCACCCCCCGCCTTCCCCCGGGCACCCCGAACCTCAGGGGCACCCCGACCTCCTTGTGCCCCCAACCCGGGACATCCAGAAACCCCGAACCCGGGGGCACCCCGACCCCACTATGTGCACCCTGACCCCATCGTGCCCCCACCCCGGGGCATCCAGACACCTCCAGCAGCCCACCTTCCTATGCACCCCCCACCCCAAGGCATCCCACACCCCAAACCCAGGGCATACAGACCTCCCCACCTCAGGCGCCCTGAAGCCAGGGGCACCCCAACCCCCTGCTATGTACACCCTGACCCCCTTGTACCCCCACCCCGGGGGCATCCAGACACCCCCTGCACCCTGAATTCAGGGCATCCAAACCCCCCTCGTGCACCCCAACCCCCTCGTGCACCCTGACCCCGGGGAATCCAGACACCTCCTGTACCCTGCTTTTCCATGCATCCCCCACCCCAGGGCATCCAGACTCCACCCTACACCCCAAACCTGGGACACCCTGACCCCCTTGTGCCCCCACCCAGGGCATCCAGAACCCTCCTACAACCCAACGCCCTCATGCCCCCACCCAGACACTCCCTGCACCCCGGGAGCATCCAGAAACCCCCTGAGCCCTGACCCCCTCATGCCCTCACACAGGGCATCCAGACACCCCCCGCACCCCACCTCTCATGAACCCCTCACCCCAGGGGATCCAGAACCTCCCTGAATGCCACACCCCCCAGAACCCCACATCCCAGGGCACCCTGTACACCCCTGCACCCCGATGGATGCCCCCATCTTTGGGGCATCCAGACCTCCCTGCACCTCAACCCCAGAGTCATCCAGACTCCCCCTGCTCCCCCCGACCTCAGTGGGGGATCCAGATCCTGCGTGTACCCTGACCCTCCCTTGTGCCCCCAACCCACTTCCATGGGGACCCTGGGGGGCTGCACCCAAGACCCCTGACATGCTCTGGCCCCGGGGGGCTGCACCCAGTGCCCCAACGTGCCGTGACCCCGGTGCAGCCCCCCACGGCACCCGGGGGGCACTCACAGATGTAGTAGTAGGTCTCCCCCGGCTGGAACTCGAAGCCGAGCGAGAAGGGGGTGAAGCGCTGGATCTTCTCGGAGAAGCGGACGGGCCCGAAGGGCGCCCGGGGCCGGTTGCACTCCCAGCGCTTGAAGGCACCGGGGGTCTCGTAGCAGCCGCGATAACCCTCCCGGTCCACCATGAAGAGCGTGAAGGTCTCTGCCCGGCCGGCGGGCACGGCCCCCTCGTAGTGCGGGCAGTAGATGTCCAGGTAGTCATTGATGGCCACCTGGATGGAGTAGTCGTCCCGCAGGAACCTGCCGGGCGGGACGAGCCGGGGGGTTCGCCGGGAGGGGTATCCCGCTGCCCCCCGGCCCCGACGGAGCAGGGAGCTGGGCTTTCCCCCAAAACAGAGACCGGACACCGCCCGCGCCACGCAGCCAGGCATCAGCTCGGATTAGCCGCAGGCCGCTGGAGCTGAATGGGCTCGGCCACCGCGGCCGGAGGCGGGGGGAGAGCCACGCTGCCCGGGCACAAAGCCCCTCGCCCCAGGCACCCGCCTCGCCGCTGATCGGACATGACACCCCGGTGGGGGGCCGTGCGGCGGGACGCTCCCGCACCGGCTCGGCGCTGGCAGGGGGCGGTGGCCGGGGCAGGGGGCACGGGGGGGGGGGACGACTTTGGCAGCAGGAAGGGCAGGGGAGGGGGCCCAGCTCAGGCACGGGCAGGATGCAGTGAGCTCACAGCGTGTGCGGCCAGGCCGGGTTGGAGCAGACAGCTCTGCGGGCACACACATGTGCACACACATGTGCACACACGTGCACTGAACATGCTTGGTCCTGGGAAAGTAATGGAGCAGGGGGGGCTGTCAGGGAGACCCCAAGCCCCCTTCATCCACCCCGGTGCAGCCGGTGTTCGTGGACGGCGCAGAGTCCTGGCAGAGACCACAACGTTCATCGCTGGGATGGCAGCACTGGTGGGGGGGAATCCGGGCCTCTGAGCCCCCCACCGAGGCCGGGGGCTACTTGAGGACAGGACGGGGCACAGGCTCGTGCTGACTCAGAGCATCCCACGGGCAACGCTGGCTGGGACAGGCCCAGGCAGGGCCGAGGGCTGCCTGACCCTGCTGAGGGGCACACGGAGCCCCACTTCCCACAGGTAGTGGGGTCCCACCTCTCCCATCCACAGGGAGGAAGCAAGGCAGCAACTGTGCCCCCAGCCCTGCCCGTCATGTGCCCACCTGCCCCAGTCCTGCAGGCCCAGGGCACAGGACCTGCAAGGGGGAGCACAGCCTGCAGGATCCCAGCCCAGCATCCTGACCCTTCCCCCTGCTCCCTGAAGCTGGGAAATACCTAAAATGGAGGAGGCCGGGAGCGGGGACAGGACCGGACCCCAGCCCTCCGGTGATGGCAGAGCCCATGGGCAGAACCCCTGGCAGGGTAGGGGCTGGGGTGGCCCCCAGCAGCGGGGACACCCACCACGGGAACCCATGGGAACCCCTGACACTGCCACCCACCACCCTGATGCCACCAGAGGATAACCAAAGCTCAGTGCCACCAAGCGCACTCAGGCTCGGCACAGTTGGGTATCACCAGGGACTTGGCAGCACCAGGAGTGCCCACCAGCTTGGTGCCACTGGAGACTTGGTGCCACTGGGATGCTCACTGGGGGCCCGGTGCCCCCAGGAGTGCCCACCAACTTGGTGCCAGCGGGAACTCGATGCCACCAGCGCTGCCCACCGGCGTGGAACACTCAGAACTCAGCGTCACCAGGGGAGACTCACCTGCTCCATGCCACCCAGGGCTCAGTGCCAGCGGCAGTGCCTGGGGCTCAGCACCACCCAGGGTGCTCACTGCCTCGGTGGCACACTGGAGTGCCCTGTGGCTCTGTACCTCCCGGGGTTTGGTACCACCGGGGATGCCCAGTGGCTCGGTGCCCCTCAGGGCTCAGCACCCCCAGGGGTTCTCACCAGCTCGGCAACGCCCAGGGCTGCCCAGTGGCCCGGTACCACCGGGGCTCGGTACCACCGGGAGGTACCACCGCGGGCTCGGTGCCGGCAGGGATGCCCAGGGGCTCGGTACCACCGGAGCTCGGTGCCACCGGGGCCACTCACCTGCTCAGCACCACCCCGGGGCTCGGTGCTGCCGGGGATGCCCGGGGGGCTCAGCACCACCGGGAGATGCTCCCCGCCTCGCTCCCACCGGGAGGTGCTCCCCGTCTCGGTAACTCTCCCAGGGGCGCTCGGTGGCCCGGTGGCCGGGCAGCCCCGCCCCCCCGGAGCCCGGAGCCCACCGCCCGCCGCCCCTCCCGGCCCCATCCCATCCCGTCCCGTCCCGTGGCGGCGGCGCGGGGCCCGGGGGCTCGGCGGGGCCCGGGGCTCGGCGGGGCCCGGGGCGCACAAAGGCGGCGGGGCCGGCGGGGGCGGCCGGCGGTACCTGGGGTTGCTGCCGTTCCAGTGGACGCCGTGGCGGGTGACGCGCACCGGCGGCGCCCAGAGCAGCGGCGCCCAGAGCAGGAGCCCGAGCAGCGGCGCGGGGCGCATGGCTCCGCCGGCGGCGGGCGGGGGGCGGCGGGGGGCGGCGGGCGGGGCGGCCCCGGCGGGGCTCGGCACGGCCCGGCCCGCCCCGACAACTTCGGGCCAATCCCGCCGCGCCGCCGCCCGGCAACTTCACCGAGTGCCATTAACCCTTGGCGGGCGGCACCGACACCCACCGGCACCGGCACCCACGGGCACCGAGACCGGCATCCCCCCGCCGGACAGTACCGCCGGCATCCAGCGGCAACGGCACCGGCACCGGCACCGGCACCGGCACCGGCAGCCACGCCTCAATCCGGCAACCCCCCGTACAGCCGACATCCACCGGCAGCGGGACCGGCATCCCTGGCAACTCCTTGGTACCGTCGACATCGACCGGCACCGAGACTGGCACCGGCACCGAGACCGGCACCGGCACCGAGACCGGCAGACACACCCCCCCCGACTGGTACCGCCGACATCCATACCGGCACCGGGACCGGAAGCCGGGCTGCAATCCAGCTCCTCACCACCCTCCTGGTACCCTCCCGGTACCCTCCCGGTGCCCCCACCCCAAGCCGGCACTGCCTCGGTACCGTGAACATCTACCGGAACCGGGAGCAGCATTGCCCGAGCACCTGGGACCGGCATCCCTGGCACTGCCCGGTACCTCCGGCATCCATCGGCACCATCAGTAGGACCGGCAGCTCCAGCCCAAACCCGCTCCCCAGTACCTCCCACCCTAACCCGGCACTGCCCCGGTACCGTGGACATCGATGGCACCGGGAGGAGAAGCTGCTCCCTGCGCCCACCCTCCCACTTTGGCCGAGCATCAGCACCCACTGGCACCAGCACTGGCGCCAGCACTGGGTGGGCACTGCGGGGACCACAGAGGACGGTCCGTGCACATGGGGCAGCTCTTGCACACGCGTGTGCCCAGGCCCACCAGGCAGCTCCTGCCCACTTACGTCTGTGCCCACCAAGCAGTTCTTGCACATGTGTGCTCGAGTGTGGCAGCTCCTGCCCATGTGTGTCCCCCTGCAACCATGACAGCTCTGGCACACGTGTGTGTCCATCTGTGTGTCAGCTCCTGCCCACGTGTGTGTCTCTGCCTGCCAGGCAGCTCTTGCACACGTGTGTGCCCATGTGTGTGGCAGCCTCTGCCCCGCGTGTGTCTGTGCACACAGAGCAGCTCTTACATGTGTGCCCATGCACACATGACAGCTCCTGCCCATGTGTCCCTGCCCACCTGGCAGCTCTTGCACGTGTGTGCGCATGTGTGTGGCAGCTCCTGCCCATGTGTGTTTGTGTACACAAGGCAGCCCCTGCCCACATGTATGTCCCTGCCCACTCGGCAGCTCTTACACACGTGTGCCCATATGTGTGTCAGCTCCTGCCCACGTGTGTCCCTGCCCTCCAGGCAGCTCCCGCCCACAACTGTGCCCACCGGACAGCTCTTGCACATACGTGTGCCCATGTGTGCAGCAGCTCCTGCTCACACGTATGCCTGAGCCCACGGGGCAGCTCTTGCACACACATGTGCATGTACCCACAAGGCAGCTCCTGCCCATGTGTCCCTGCCCACCTGGCAGTCCCTGCACACATGTGTGCCCATGTGGGTGGCAGCTCTTGCCCATGTGTGTCCATGCACACAAGGCAGCCCCTGCACACACGTGTTCCTGCCCACCTGGCAGTCCCTGCACATGTGTGTGCCCATGTGGATGGCAGCTCCTGACCATGTGTGTCTCTGTGCAATCAGGGAGCTCTAGCACACACGTGTGCCCACGTGCCTGGCAGCTATTACATGACCATGCACCCAGGGCAGTTCTTACACACGCACACACACACACACACGTGTCCATGCAGACTCAGTAGCTCTTGCACACGTGTGTCTGTGCCCACAGAGAGCAGCTCCTGCTCACATGTGAGCCTGAGCCCATGGGGCATCTTTTGCACATACACCTGCCCACGTATGTGGCAGCTCTTGCACACACATGTGCCTGTGCCCACAGGGCAGCTCCTGCCCACACATGTCAACACCCACCAGGCAGCTCTCGCACATGCGTGTGCTCATGTGTGTGGCAGCCCCTGCCCACGTGTGTTTCCCTGCCCGCAGGGCAGCCCCTGCACGTGTCTGTGCCCACCAAGCCACTCTTCCACACATGTGTGTGCCCAAGTGTGTGACGGCTCATGCCCAAGTGTCCCTGCCCACAGAGCAGCCCCTTGCACACGTGTGTGCCCATGTTTGTGGCACCCCTGCCCCTGTGTGTGTCTGTGCGCACAGGGCAGCCCCTGTGCACATATGTACATATTCCTGTCCAACAGGCAGCTCTTGTACATGCAGTGCATGTGCCCACAGAGCACACATGTGCCCAAACGCACAGGGCAGCTCTTGCACACGTGTCTTCCCATGTCCATGGCAGTTCTGTGGCCCCTGCCCACGTGTGCCCTGCCCACGGAGCATCCCTTACACACACACGTGTCCTCTGCAGACCAGAACAGCCCTGGCACACGTGTGTTCACATGCGTGTGGCAGCCCCCCCACGCGTGCTCCCGTGCCCACAGAGCAGCTCTTACACACACACACGTGCCCGTGCACACAGGACATCTCTTACACACACCGTGTCCCCCCGTCTCCCCCCCGTCCCCTCGCCCACGTGGCCCCTCGGGACACCGACCCCCCTCCCGCTGCAGGTGCGCGCGGTCCCCGCCAGGGGGCGCCGGCTGCCGGGAGCCTCTTCCGGCGCGGGGGCTGCTGGGAGTTGTAGTTCGGCACCGCTCCCCTCTCCCGGTGTCCCGGGGCCGCTCCCGCTGTCCCGGTGTCCCGGTGTCGGTCCCGGTGCGGCGGAGGCGGCGCGGGGGCAGCTCACAGCCCCTTTGTTGACGTGGCAGGGGGGGCCTGGCGGGGTCCGGCGGGGCTCGGTCTTGTCCCGGCCTGTGGCTCAGGCCTCCGGCGGGGCCGGGGCGGGCCTGGGGAGAGGGGGGTGCGATGGGGTGAGAGGGGGGGTCCTCATAGCTCCCCCCGCAGACCCTCTGCCCCCCACAGACCCCCTCCTTGACCCCCCGTTTCTGACCCCCCCATTTCTCCTGGTTACCCCCTCTGCACCCCCTTTTACTTCTCTGCACCTCTGCTGACCCCACCATGCCCCCCCCACTCCTTCTTCCCTCCCCTGCCCTTATTCTGAGCCCCACATTTCTCCTGGCTGCCCCCTCTCTGGCCTCTGCTGACCCCACCCTGTCCCCCCCCCCCCCTCTTTCCTCCCCCGCCCTTTTTCTGAGCCCCCCAGTTCTCCTGGCTGCCCCCTCTCTGGCCTCTGCTGACCCCACCCTGTCCCCCCCCCCCCCTCTTTCCTC